CTGCTCTCGCTCTGCACCAGCTGCAGAACACACTGCTCTCATGCCTTTCCTTCGCCCTGCGTGCTCCTCAGCATTCCCCTGGCAAGCGTAATCCCCACAGGCTTCCTGCTTAAGCTCTAGCGCCCCAACGCTGGTGCAAAAATAGGCTGTTCAGAGCAGCAGGAAAATAATAATCCAAGGCAGCAAGCCTTAAGGATACGCCGACCCAGAACGCGAGCCGGACTTTAACGGTTTTACTAGAGTGCTTGTCCTGAGCAGCCCCTTAAATAGTCAGAGAAATTGTAGCTAAACGCTTCTTTCTGCTTACGTGCTGCCAGCGAAGGCAGCTGCGCAGCTGCCGTGTCCGCTCCAAGCTGCGGTAGTTGAAGGGCTCACAAGCCTCCACCAAGCACCGTGCGGTAAACGCCGTGTCTTGGCTCAAACCAGTGTCTGGGCTCAAATATGCGGGCAAGTGCAGCGCTGCTTTCTGCACGCCTTTTAACTGAGGAGAAAGTGTTTTCTGCCCCTAAATTTATTGTAAAGAGGAGAAATTATCATGGTTGGTATGAAAACTGGGCATGCTAAATTGGCGTTAAGCTTGTGGTGAGTACCTCAAGGTATATTGCAAAAAATTCTAGCTCTGGAAATGTGCTTTGTATGCCTTAACAGTCAACCGAAATGCAAATATCTTAAGATGGGCAAAGGTATTTGCTGTCATTTTATGCAAGTTATTTAAGCCCAAGGTTTCCTTAAACCGTTGCTTTTAGCTTTAGTCCCTGCTAAATTTGGGAAGAGGACTGTGCACTGCTTCAGTGAAGGCTGATAACCTTCCACAGATAGTCTAGACCAAGGAGCAGTGTGAGAGGTGGACACCTGCATGCCCTGGATGCCTCATGGCCTGGGGCGATGTGGAACAGGGACCTGCGCCACACTGTGATTGCAGTGTGGTTGTAAAATGCAGTTGGTAATGTATAAGTGTGTGGTGCAGTGGGTTCCTGAGGGCCCTGCAGTGTTGGGCCCCTTCTCAGCTTTTTGGGAACATGCCTTGATTTCAGTTTTGGTTGTATTTTATGGTGTCCCAGGAAAACCAGGCAGGAATGTAGTGCACGGGTGGAAAAAGTTTGATTTGATTTGTGTTTATGGGAGTCGAGGCAGCAGTTGAGTTAGTGACCTGGGCGGCCCTTGCCTTGAAATGCCTGTACAGCACCCAAACACACATTTGGCTGCTGCATGTTGAAGCATCTCCAGTGGCTGTCTTTGGCAGTCTGTGGGCTGCCAAAGGCAATTCAGTCTCCTGCTTTGCTGTTTGTTTCTTTACAGAACTTTTCCTAACCTCTAAAGAAAGGTCTTGCTGTAACCCTAGCAGTTTATGTCTGACACCACTAAGTGTCTTTTATATATTTTGAGGACAGTTGCTATGCTGTTCCTCAGTTCTTCAGACTAAACAGTGTCAGCTGTCTTAGTCTCTTCTCATAGCTCATGCGAATACCTGGCTGTATTCCACCCTAGGTGCTCTGGTCAGTGTGTCCAGGGTCTGTTTTGAAAGGCAGTGCCCATAACTAAATACCAGCCCGGCAACACAGCCTTAGTGCATTTCTGGCTGGAATGGAAAACCTGCTGAATGTTTTGCATCCAATACCTATATTTGCAAATGTTGTTTCTTGAGAGCAATCACTGGTATGATGTCTTGAGGTGTTCATACAGAAGTGCACAGCTGTGCTGCTAAGAGTCCAAGCCTGACACCAAACATTGGGGTCCTGAGGAGGAGAAGTGATAGCTGCGCTGTGGAAGGTCGCTGATGGAGTGGGCACAAAATGTACAAAGTGCAAAGTACAAAGTACTGCTGCTATCAGGTGGCAGAAAAGCTGCAGAGCTTTGTCTTAGGTTCTTTTCTTATGGAAGAGGTGTGAGGGCTGTTGTATATAAATAGCGTTCAACTTTGTGACGGGAACTGGCTGGTAGTTGCTCCAAAGGTACCAGTCGTTATCTTGATATTATTCCTGTGAGTTGGAAGGGGAAATGAAAGCTGAATTTGGAATGCCTTAAAGTAACTGGATTGGACTGACAGTTGTAACGAAGAAAGAGGCTAATTCCAATGTCCTGCTTTATTCCATGGAGGCTTGCTAACTGACCGTGCTAGCTGTGTTAAGTTTTCAGTGATAGATTTATTAATATCTTTTAAGTTTACAGCATTGCATTCCAAAGGTAAATGTTATCTTGTGTGTTCATTAGATGTAAAAGCTGAGCTTTTCTGAATATTGCGTAATTACATTGTCTCTTACGTATTTCAGGATTTCGCAAAAATGATGAAATGAAGGCTATGGAAGTATTGCCAATTTTAAAGGAAAAAGTTGCATACCTTTCAGGTAAGGTTACCTCTTTCTGTTATATCACTGTGCTATTAGTCACAGACAAAGTGATGCTTTAAAAATCTATTTAAAAAGGAAACAAATAGCTGAGACAGTTGGCTGTTCCAAAGAAAGAAGTTTCCCCATATAAAGCAAGTGAGCATTGTAGAAGAATGTATAATAATGAAGGTATATATTATGTTGAATGCAGAATAGTTTGCTAGATCCTATTTTCCCCTCCATTATTGCAAATTCAGCAACATTGGATTATGTTATGAAAAGTGTTCTTTACTGTAGTTGCATTCCTTGTCTTATTTGTTATTTCTTCATCTCTTGGTGAGATGGAGCCAGTACCAAAGCCATCTGTCTGAGACGGGAGAAACATGTCTGTTAGAGATGACCGTTGAGTGCATATCCTTTAAGGCATACTTAGTATCTGCATGGCTAAATGAACTAAAATTAGATGCTGTCTCCAGCATATACCTTGCTTGTTGCTTAACAAAGAATAACAGAAAAGATTTAGAGTGGGATTCAAATTAATGAATTTCAAAAATCTGTAACTTAAGTAATTTTTCGTGAAGGATTGAGGTGCCTTTTCTTAAAGGCCATATGAGGTGTTTATTCATGTGAACAGGGTTTGGAGTGTGACATTCTGAAGTAAATATTCTGATACCTGTAGGAATTAGTTAACATCAGTCTCTGTCATCTCCCAAGGACAAATGTCTTAGAGAACAATCTCGTACCTGAAAATCTCTTTTTTGTTGTTAGATTAGTAAGTTGTCAAGAACTCCAGGAAAAAAAAAAACTCTCTACCTGTAAATATAAAACTTTACAAAATGATTTCCTAAACTGTGCTCTTGAAAAATTTGCTGTACAAGGATGCTAGAATATGTAGTTCACAGTGCTTCATCCTGTCCGCTCTGCTGAGGTAAAGCAAAAAGATGATTTGTAAAAGGTCTCTGCAACTCTAATGAGTGACATAACAGACTGCCCACAGCTAATATCCGTGGTGCTATGGAAACTTTGTTTCTTCTGCTTGTAAACTATAATGCTCGTGAAGGCTTGGCCAAAACTGTAGTTGGAAACTACAACTACAGGGAAGGGAAGCTTTTTTGGAGGAGTGTGAAAGATGGGTGGTAGTTCTCTGATGTTAATTTGTAATCACGTGATACTCTCAAGAGGACTAATTCAAAGCATGTAAAGCAGACCCTCTCAAAATGCAAAATGAAAATGATAGATTGTGAACCAGAGCAGATGAGATGCAGGCAGAAGTGGCAGTCAACTTGCCTTTGTGAAGGTGGTAACTTTTGACAGGACAGAAGTGAGCAAGAAGGAGTGGGCAGCATGACTGTCTGGAGCTCATCTGCCAAAATATGGGAAACTTTGTGCTTTCAATGCAAGTGAGGGTCAAATGAAAGGAGATGGATTAGTAATGAGAGTGTCCCTAGCCCTATCGCCCTAGCCCCTAGCCATACTAGGACTTGCACGCCTTGTATCTGGGAAGGCAAGGAAGGCTATTGGAGTATTGACTTACTCCACAGAAAGTTTCAGAGGCTTTCAGTGTACCTCATTTGCTTTCTTCAAAAGTACAGCTTGTGCTCAACTGTTTTGTCAACAAGTAGGACGTGTTCACTAGGGAAAAAATATTTTTACTAAAAATGCTAATGTCCCCATTAAATTTTTGACATTCGCAAATGCTGCTCTAATTTTGGTGGTTTTATTCACCCTCATTTGTACTGTAGTTCTGGTAGGGTTGTTTCAGGTTCACTGATGATTAAGTACCTCTTATGTAGAATTCAAGTATGACCGTGCAGAAAAAAAAGCTCTTTTTTATATAGCAGGAAATACAAATAACAAAGACATTGAAAAAAATCATGGAGTGTTTTAAGATGCTTGGTATCCTTGAGACCTTCCTTCTCAAAGCTAAATGAATGAAGCAAACTGTGTAGCACTGCATTCATTGTGGTGCTGGTAGAATAGTAGGTACACTGATCTCTCCCGTAATGCCAGCCTTCTTGAGCATTTCCTCAGACCAGCTTGTTGTGAGAAGAGACATTTGCAAGAGAGGTCGTTGCTGCTGGAGCTGCTGCGTATTGTGAGATTCAGGGCTTCACCAGGTGCTCGGGATCCCACTGCAGCCTTCCTGCTTCACTTCCACTGCTTCAGGCCCCTGCCCCAAACCTGGTTGCCACCAGAGATGCCTCCTAGGCCACTCCTAAGGTGGTGTTTTGATCTGGTCAGAATGTTACTGTTTTTTATTGAGTCAAAACTGTAGGTAGCAGGTAACCTTCCACTGGGATATAGCTGTTAGAATAACTGTACCGTTTCATAAACTGTGTTTACAAAAGCTTTCTTTCTCCTCTGATAGGCCCCTGTGTCTCTTTCGTCTTTGTTAGCCTGAGCTAGGCGTTAACTCCATGATAATTTGGTTTGTCTTTGTTACCCTATATTCTTTTTGTTTGTGTCTAGACACAGATACATTTTAATATACATACACAGCATAATTTCTTTGCATCGTCTGAGCATTTCATCACTTTTGAAAAGGTTTATTTCAGCAATTGCTTCTTCTGTTACTAATCACAGCAGGTCCGAAGTGACTCACTTTTTTGCTTCTCCATCATCATATTTTAATGTAGCCTTTTTCACTGAACTGTTAATGATATGTTTTCATAAATGGAGAGTGGATTTTTAATAATCTTAGTAAATTTCAAGCTGTGCTTACCTGGAAGTGAATTCTGCCATCTTGCCTCTGCTGTCTGTGAAAAATAAGGTGAATTTTCAACTGCAGGTTGTACAACAAGCAATGTGCAAGTGAGGCCTGTGGTCCAGATAGGTTGTCTGGACTCGTGAAAGTCTGTGTGATCTTTGCGTATCTTAAAACATGCTAGTGTAGCTGTGCTGCTCAAACTGTTGAAAAAAGGTAAATTAATAACCAGTGAGATGACAGCTGGAGTGGCAGAGATATGATTTCTGAATGAGAATGCAGTAACTGGATTGTTTTGCTGGCACAGCAAGCTGTAGGATACAAATACTTGGAATCCCGTGGTAGATTTCTAGTATTGCCAACAGACTGGTTCTCCAAGAGACTAAAAATTAAAAAGCTTCCTTGATCTGATTTTCTGCTGCCTGGGAAAAGCAATCTGCTTGGTTGTAGTGTGTCTCATCTGAAACAGTAACAGTTCTAGAAGGCTTTTTCTGCGAAGTGCAAATGGAGTCTGGGATACAAATTTTTCTTCTATTTTAACTGAAGCTCATCACAATGAGGATGCTCTTTTGTCTACAGAGCATGTGGAATATTTCCTACAAGGTGCAATTATCGTGGTTTTCCAGGAGGAATAGCACTGTATTGTGTTGCGCCTTTCACAAAAAGCCCACTGCTTTGCTCTAAGCAAAGTCCTTTGAGACTGTGCAGAAAAAGGCATTTCCTGAAAAATTGTACTACACAACATGTGTGGTTTGGGTGCCATTTGGAGAGTGCTGGCAAGGCTGCCATTAGTGATGTGCACTAGACAGAAGTGATTCACGTTGGCTGACTCATGTGAGTTGATCAGCTACTCGTGTGACACATCTTGGCATAAACAGGGAGAGAATCTGTGTCACTGTGTGGGGGCTCTCTATAAAAGACAAGGGGGAAAATGGAATTCCGGTTGAGGAAAGTAGCTTAAAATGGTTTTGTTAAAGACAGACAGGGGATTGAGTTGAATAAAGGCTACTGTGAGACAGCAAATTCCCACCTGATGCCTCATAGGTGGCAATTTGCCGTTCCTGTTTGTGTGACACAGGAGAGTCAAGAGCAAAGGGAATGAGTTAGTTATGGGAAGAGGCCTAACCTTGACTTTCTGGGAATAAGGCCTAAAATAGCTTTTATGTCATTATTGGAAAAATAATCAGTTGATTTCTGATGTCCTAAGGATCTTAATTTGCTTTATTTTGCAATCTTGATATCTAGTCCTAGACTGGACAGTGGGCTGCTTTTAGTTAATACCAAGGTTGTATTAATTTCCTCATTATCTATTTAGATGTGAAGTTAGCACAACAAATTTTGTTTCCAACATGAAAATTTTGAAACATGTATTAGCAGAAATTTAAGCAGCTTCCTTTAAAAATGGGCTTTTTTTGTGATGTGTGTTCAGGCAGGAGCTAGTTGAGGTGGCATCAAAATTGCTGTAAATGGTAACCCCTGGTTTGCATTCCTCTGCCACAGAGCAGAGTGAGGCAGCAGTTAATCTGTGGTGAAGTCAGGGAGACTGCTCTTGCCTTCTGAGGTCATTTGGCCCCTACTAACGTGGATTTAAAATGAGAAAGTGATTCACAATGACAGAATTCAGAAAATAGTGCTTCTCTGGGTTTTCATGGGATAGGAGAGCAAACAGTCTACACATCCATGCTTGAAAATACGTTCATGGAATTTAGCTAGCAGGAGTTTGTGCTAAATCTGAAAGCTATTATATGAGTGTTGATAAAGAGCACCTGCTGTTCTGAATATAATAGGAAGCTCCCACAATAACATTTTGCTGTCACTAGCAAGTGATTTGGTTTAAAATGGTATCTTAATTCCCAGCTACACCTACTTCTCAAGTTTTAGCAATTTAACAAATAAATGTATTTAAGCAGAATGCTGCTAAAGTTAGCAATAAAATGATAATCTAGAATCTTCACGTCAAATCAGGATAAATTATAAACTGAATTATTTGACAATGTCCACTTACCCAATGGATATATTAGATGAGTGTGAAATACTATCCCATCGTTGCTAGAGGTAAGTCACATTGCTGGTCAACCTTGAATGATTAAAAGTGTAATGCTTTAGTTATTTTATATGTCTTTTTTTCACAGATATTTTCTTGTTGTAGAAATTGTGATCACTTGCTGATCGATACTCCTGAAATTCAATTTTAAGATGGTTTCTAAATGGCAGTGTTAGTATTTAACTTGAACAAGAGCTTAGGATGCGGTTTTCCAAAAGCACTCTTAACACTATTTTTATAAACCAGAACTGTGTTATGCTGTGGGTTTTTAATGTGTTTAACTTTTCAGGTGGCAGAGATAAGCGTGGAGGTCCTATTCTAACGTTTCCAGCTCGAAGTAATCATGACAGAATACGGCAAGAAGACCTTAGGAGACTAATTTCATACCTAGCTTGTATTCCTAGGTAAGTGATGGTCACTTAATTTATTGTACAGATTCAGAGTTCATAAAGTACACTGGCAAGCTAGAACACTGAGTACTTTAAGAAAATAAGTGAATTCAGACCAAACTCTGTGAGTTACTGTTTTTAAACTGCCTTTTGGAAAAGACCTGAATAATCCCTGCGGCCTGGAGAAGGGAGACTGTTGGCAGACAGATTGGTGTGCTTTAATTAGGGGTTGGTCATGTCCTGGGAATGGCACTGCGATGTTCCGCTGCTGTCACTGTGGTGAAGGTTGTGAATGCATCTCACAGGCTCTCAGTACATCAGTAATTAGAGAGATTGTTGTCATCATTCACAGTGTTCCTTGGCTGGATTGATGTTAGCACAAAACTCCTAACTGTTATTCATGTCACATGAGGAGTTATGTCCTGATATAGCACAGGAATGAAGAGGAGAGATACAAGGAAAATTGCTTGTACAGGTCTTAAACCTATCGAGAGGTCTGTGATACTGTTATATTATCCACAAATTAAGCTATAAGTCGCAATGTTCCATTTTAACAAATGATCGAAAATCAAATCTAGTGCTAGTGTAAATATATTTTTTAAAAAAAGTTTGTTCCCATCGAACATTGTTACTAGTACTGACTGAACTGGGGGTAAAAATGAGTGTAAACCTCCAATTTTTAGATCCGTTTCTGTGCCAGTGTTTGGTGCAGGCTGGAGCAATTCTGATTATGCTTGAATATGTGTGCCTAGGACTCAAGAGGCATCATTATAGCTGGAAAAAATCCTTTGGACAGCATCCCTGAATGCAGTATGTTCTGTATTTCTGTAATGTGTTAATTTTGGGCATTCTGCATCTGACGGGATCAGATGTCATTTTGAATTGACAAAAGAGCTTTCATAAAAATAACTTGATGCCATGTAGTTGAGAGTGTGCATGATCTCTCCCGAGAGCAAGTTTTGGTAATCAAATTATTCTGTTTTTTTATTTCACCTTTAAGTATAAGAGAGCTTTGTATTATTTTTTCAATTAATCTGTTTTTGTTTGTTTTGGGAGGGAATCAGGGCAGGGAGGAGACAAACTTCTTGAGATTTTTACCTCTGAAATCATTTGAAATCACACTTGAACCTTTGAAACGGAGTCTATGGAGCATCAAGTTAGTGGAGAAGTTGTTAACAGATGAACCTCCAGCATCAAAATCTTCCCAAGGATGTTTTGGAGGGAGGTGTCTGGCAAAATACAGTGATGTTTTGTGGTGAAAGGTATATGTTAGCTTAACATTGAGGATTTAAAGTAAGAACAAGTTAGTGCAGGTTTGCATAAAATGTCTGCAAGAGTGGTGAAGTTTTGAGAACAAAGGAAGCTTTATTGAAAGCTAGGCTTCTTGGACCTATTTTCTTAATAAGTCATCTCTTAGGAACTAAGAGATCCTAAGGGTCCTAGCAACTTTGCTTAATTAAGTTGGTACAAGCAGCCCCAAACAGCTGGTCTGTTGGCGGCTCTTGCGCACTGCTGTTCTGCACAGCTGACAATTCAGAGGTAGCAGTTGGCTGGCAACGAACCAAGTCACTTAAGGCAGATCTAGTCTCACAATTTTAGTAACGTAACAATTTATTCCTTTAAAAAATATATCTAAGTTTTAAGTCATTAATGTTTTTTGGACCAAGCATTAGTGTAGCTCAGATTTGCCTGTCATGTGATCTTGACTGACCAAAACTTCCAGGCACAATTTTTTTCTTTTTTTTTGATCTTTAGGCAGCAGGGGTGGCCCATGTCTTGTGAAATGGGGCTGTGTGACAAGGGGGGACACATGATGTGCACTGCTGCATGTGGCCAAGGGTGTTTGTCCATCCCTGGAGATGCAGGGATGTGTGGCGCTCGTCAGCCTTGAGGGCTTCTCCTCATGTAGCATCCAGGCTGTGCCATGGGTTGGGACAGGCACCGAGGAGCACGGGATAATAACACCAGCTTGCCAGGAATCCTGGAAGTTAAGTAGCCTTTCGGTAACTGATGTGGCTTAACTTTAAACAGTAGTAGTTCTTGCACTTTCTTGGGAGACTGTTAAGCTCCTTTGCCAGTGTCAGAAACATTGCGGGTTGTAGCCTATGTGTATTCTGAATAAGTCTTACTACATTTTTTTCTGCCATCTGCAGTTTTAATGCACAATAATGCTTTTTAGCAAGAGTGATATTTCCATTGTGGCAGTCTTGTGAGCAGGCTGGACAGGCCAACTTTTATTGTTATAAACTCCTTTCCTAAATTGCCTTCTTTATTTTTTAACCGTCTTTTAAAAATTCTTTAAAACAAATTGAATTCCTATTTCTTCTAGGACCCTCCTGCTTCAGTTATGGTTCATCTTTCTATTATGAGGCAATGTGACTGATTGAAGTATTCCTCTGAAGCTTCCCTGCTTTCTGGGCACTCTAAAAACCTCACCACAAACTCCAGAATTGCATTTACCTTAGTCACATCCCTGAAAGTGAATCACGTACCGAAACAACAGACATATGGTCCCTTTTTGAAAGGATGATTCGTTCATTTTGAAATATTTTCCCTTTCCATGTCAGCAAGCTCACATAGAAATTTTTCTGTTTTTAAGCCAGCAGTGAACATCAAGTGTGCAAAAAGGTATTGGTGGAGAGAAGAAAAAGGAATCTGCCACACTTGGTAATATTATCAGCAATTAGGAGTATAAGGATTGTCTTCTGGACAGCAGCATTCATGTACTCTAGAAACAAGTTAATGTTTTTCTTCAGCAGTCATAAAACTCTTATCCACTAACTATCTACAGGATGGGCTTCTTGTAGTAAGTGTTAGTACAGGTTTTTCCCCTCTGTGGAATTCTGCTTTTGGTGGTTCTCAGGTAATGAGGGGACAGGATTTCAGACCAAGGTTAAAAAGATGGGAAAGGAGTAGGAAATGAGGGACAGGATTTCAGACCAAGGTTTAAAAAGATGGGAAAGGAGTAGGAAACAGCAGCATGCAGACATTTGAGAAGTATGAATGTTGTCATCAGTAGAGTGTGTTTGTTTTCTAGAGGATCACTTGTAAATGAATTGCAGATTGCTGCTCCTTAGGTTGAAGAAATGTGAATTCAAAGAGGAAATGTGAATGTAAACAATGAAAGTAAGAGATGATGAAAGCAGATCAGCAAGTCTGCAACTGGTTTGAAGTTAGCACCCACAGAAGGCTTGGCAGGGGGGTTGGGAGCAGGGGAACCAGCTTCCTGAGAGGTTTTCCACTGCCTTCATCAGGGCTGTTGTATGTGGCAGCTCATCACCAGTGATGCTTCAGGGTGTGACAGGTAGCTGGGGAGGCCCTGTTCATTGAGCACTGTGGTCTGGGTTTGAATTTGTAACACAGGCTTGATAACCTCTTTCTCTTTCCCCTGCAGTGAGGAGGTGTGTAAACGAGGGTTCACCGTCATTGTCGATATGCGTGGATCAAAATGGGACTCTATAAAGCCTCTACTGAAGATCTTACAGGAATCCTTTCCCTGTTGTATTCATGTTGCACTGATAATCAAGCCAGACAACTTCTGGCAGAAACAGAGGACTAACTTTGGCAGCTCTAAGTTTGAATTCGAGGTAATTTCCCTTAAAGTATACTAGTTTATGCTTATTTGGTGGTTTAAGTGTACTTGCTTCAGAGCAGCATCTTGAGTCTCAGACTAATTACGCTCCTGCATGGAGGGAGAGTAGATGGCCAGTAGTACTATAGGGTATGGGGCTTCCTGCATATAATTGAGTTAGATGGCTGTGCACGTCATTGTGTGCATGCTTTCTCTGGGCAGGAAAAAGAGTTGGTGGGGGGAAAGGAAGTGGGGAGCCTCCCCTCCCCCAAAAGAAAAGTTAAAGTTAGCTATATATTCCCTAGGTCTACATTGTGGGAATGGTGCTATCACCAGTGTGCCATGCAGAGGAAAGTAGCCAACTAAACCTTGCTGTTGGCTTCCTGTTAGTCAAAACTTAACAAACGCTCTTTCAGATACTATTTTGATTATTTTATTCTCAAGTGTGGTGAGGTAAGAGAGAAACACAAGTGGTAATAAGATTTAAATGGCTCTTTGGGGGTAGAGTGTTCCTCTCATTTGGGGAAATTACTGCTAGTCAGAATTGACATTGAAGAGAAGCAAGTGAGAAAAGTTAAATCACATGTACTTTGTAAGCAAAATGCTCAGCTTCTAAAGGCACTGAAATAAAAAGAAATTTTCAAAATCATTGCAGTAGCAGCAATATTTTGTCTTTGTTTTCTAGACAAATATGGTGTCTCTGGAAGGCCTTACCAAAGTAGTTGACCCTTCTCAGCTAACCCCGGAATTTGATGGCTGTTTGGAGTACAACCATGAGGAATGGATAGAAATCAGAGTTGCCTTTGAGGACTACATTAGCAATGCAACCCATATGTTGTCCAGGCTGGAAGAACTGCAAGATATTTTGTCAAAAAAGGAAATGCCTCAGGACCTGGAAGGTGCTCGCAATATGATCGAGGAGCATTCACAATTAAAAAAGAAAGTCATTAAGGCACCTATTGAGGACCTTGATGTGGAAGGACAGAAGCTGCTCCAGCGAATACAGAGCAGCGACAGCTTTCCCAAGAAGAACTCTGGGTCGGGGAACGCAGACTTACAGAACCTCTTACCCAAAGTATCCACCATGCTGGACAGGCTGCACTCAACACGGCAGCATCTGCATCAGATGTGGCATGTGCGGAAATTGAAATTGGACCAATGTTTTCAGCTCAGGCTATTTGAGCAGGATGCTGAAAAGGTAAGGGACTGGGGAGGGGAGGCACAGAGCTTGGCTGGCTTGAAAGGAGTGCTCAGGAAAACTTTAAATAGTAAGTTTTGTCTTTAGAGTTGATCACTATGTTTTTAAAGAGAAATAAAGCATTTATTTAGGAAGTTTTTTCTAGTCTTCTGGAATTGAGGGGGTGCGGTAGAAATTCCAAACTGTGAAGAATACAATTTACTCTCATTTAGCAACATTTAAGGTTCCTAAATGGATATAAGCTTTTGCTTTGCTAAGTTTTTGCTCCAGAAAAGTACCTTCGTGGACATGAAACGAAGATTAATATTGTAGGCTTTGACTACAGATCACGAAGGGCTACATCCTTCTCCCTTCCTTGTCACCCTCAGGATTTGAGTGATAGGCAGTTGACAGAGTCCCAAGAGGTTGACATGGAGAACTGCTTCATTGATGCAGGGTTTAGAGTCTCAGGCTAAAAGCTGATGCTTTTTTGATATGCACATATCATTAATAGGGGACTGACCAATCTTGGAACATTTCAGTTTAACAAAACCTGTCAAATTAGGAATGCTCTTGATGTTTATGGAATGGGAAGAACCACCATAGCTAGCAGTGCACTGTTAGATGAGCTCAAATAAAATCTATCTTTATATACAAAGATTTTGCAATCATTTATTAGCCTGGGTCCAGTATTAAAGAAAGATAGGAAATATTCTTTTTTTTTTTCTCCACAGAAATAGTAACTAGACTCTCTTGAGTCTAGTGGCAGGTGTGACTTTTACCAGGTTTGTAAACTAATAGAATGAGCACTGCTAGAGAACAGGGTATCAGCCTCACCTCATTCAGGCGCAGTGCTCATAAGTTTTGGGGAAGAGTAAAAATGGGTCAGCAACACATACTTCTTCTTCCCTTCTCTGCCCCTGTGTTTTCCCATCCTCTGTTCTCTTCGGTTTAGGGACTTTCTTAACGCTACTGTTTAATGTTTCCTGTTGTGCTTAAGTCAGAAGAAACTCCAAATATTCTAAGTAAATGTTTAATGAATTGGTATAGTTGAAAATGGTAGGAGCAGGTAAAGAAGAATTTTTATCTTTATCGGGAGGGTGGGGGGGGAGGGGAAACTGATGGTCTGGTGTTTTTCATTTAAGCTTGACATATGTTTTAGCAGCTTTTCAGCAACTAGCTTAATTACAGTATGGAAAAATGTATTTTGGTGTTGCTCACTTTAAGTACTTAGATATGGTCTTTATTTACTCTCTCTCTATTTTGAAAAAAAAAAAAGGGCTAGACATCTTCAAGTGGGATTGAGACTACCTTTTCTGTTGAAACTGAGTATTAAGATTCAAAAGAAGGATTATGTAGTGTCCTAACTCATTTTTGCATGACTTGTAGTTGCACTCCTTATTTCACTCCATGTATCAAATAAGATTTCCTAGATGAGGACTCCTTCATCAGTTGATATCTATATGGTTTATATTAGTTTAGGAAACTGATGGATCTTAGATGGAAAAACAGGGTTTTCTTTGGATCAAGAGGAATAAATATGTATATCTGGGGGACTTGCACAAGTCTTTGCACAAGTAATCTGGACTGGTTCAGGAAAAGAGAAGGCCAAGAAGAGGAGTGGGTAGCAGGAGTTTACTGCTTTCTTTAGGTATCCATAAGGCAATTAGAGAGAAGGCAGAGCACAGGCAAAAGATGAGAGGCAGAAGAAATTCTGACTGGATATAGGCAGCAGGGGAGGAATTCATGCCCACCCCCGCCCCCCGCTAATGATCAGACTTTGACATGGATGTCGCTCAAGTATCTTCTAAGGAAAGTTCCCAAATTCTAGGATTTTAAGAAGTGGTCAGGTTATAGGTTAATAGGTTAATAGGTTGGGGATATTCAGATTCACACTCATACTGTAACTGTGTCAGTTAACAGATAGCAAGTACAAAAAGCTCAAATCAGGAGAAGGATGGTAAAACTGTAGCCCACTGAGAAAGAGACTTGTTTAAAGAGGGAATGGGACCTGGGGCAGTGTGGCTGAATGGCTTCACTTTAACAAGTCAAGGTGTGCATTATGTGAATAGAATTGATCAGAGATCAAGTGCTCTAATTATATATGTATATGTATGTGTATGTATGTTTCCCTGTAGCTATTACAAGGCAACTTAGATCCGTTCTAGTCCAATCAAATACCAGTGTGACCACAGCATATCCACAGTTTTCTTTAAAACGCTCCAAAGTTGAAAGCCTGTGTGGTTGCAGTGGGACCCCTGTCTATTTTGAATAATGCTCTAACACATCACTGTAGGCTAGATAAGAAAATGAAAGTTTCTGGACTCTGTGCTTCTCTCTCTATTTTGTCTAAGCTCTGCCTCAGGTGTCTAAGCTCTTGCATGCTTTTGTTCCCAGCCTCTACTTCAGTGTTTTCCCATAATAACTCAGTTTATCGTATAGTTTATCTGTTTGGCATATTGGTTTTGATTGTATAGTTCTGGTAACAAGAGTATTTTAAAAGATATTTAGATGAGTGCTGGATACTCATTGTTACATTTGTTTGTTTGTTTTTACTTGAAGCAACTTTTTATAACCTGTCTGACAAATAGGTGAGTCTTTTACTTGGGCAGGTATTTGAGGAGGATCAAGAGCAAGGACAAAGACAGGGATTAACTTGGCCTCTTGCTCCATTACTTTTTTTTTTTTAATTTATTTTTTTAAGTAAACTTTGTCTTCCGGTGGATCTATTGACTTCCTAGCTAAATAGCTGCATTTGTGATCATTCGCAGAGGAGATATCTTCTAAAATTTGTTGAATATAGAAGTACTTTTTCTATTTAAAGCTATCCTTAAATCGGTATAAGAAAAGGTTATCCACAACACTGTGCACAAGTATAGTCTTTTTGATATACTTAGCAATCAAAAATTTATTTGCAACTTTGGCATGAATTTATGACAAAAAATCTAAACTTGTTACTAAGCAACTTAATTGGCAGTACGAACTTTGCTGTTTTGTTTGAAATTACAAAGTCTGTAAGCCTGTTGTGCTTCAAGTGTGTTTAAGTGTGGGTTTTTTTTTTGATTTGTTTTGTTGTTGTCGTAAGGGAGTTGGTCAAGTTTCAACAACCTCAGCTGCTGGATCTAAGAAGTCATATTTTGGCTAATCTATGAGATGGTTAAAATACACAATGACCTTAGAACAGAAAGAGCAACAGTGTTAATTTTTGTGGCCTTAGACTGTCTTCTGTGTACTGGCAAAAGCCTCTTGTTACTTGTTAATGATTTCTTCTACAGCAAATTACTGATATATATATATCTTTTCCTTAATGTTTTCTTGTAGATGTTTGACTGGATCACCCACAACAAAGGTCTATTCCTAAATAGCTACACGGAGATCGGAACCAGTCACCCCCATGCTATGGAGCTTCAGACACAGCACAATCACTTTGCTATGAATTGTATGGTAAGAAAAAGCCTCACTTCACAACACCAACACATTGCATGGGTTGTTAGGATAAAACTCATAAATTATATACTAGATTCCTTCGTTACAACTAGTGCTAATTTGTATCTAAGCAATGAAAATTATACAGTCAAAAAGAAGAAAATAAATGGTAGCCAAGCAGTGAGTAGAGAGATACTGTGACCAAGCAAGAAAATTCTTTGGAATAACGGCAGCATTTTAAGACAACCTCGCGGTTTCCAAAGCGCAAACCTGGAGTGTGTGTTTGCTGCTAGTGGAAGTTCTACATGTGGGCACTTACTACTGTTTTGCAACTAATGCCTGGCAAAAAAAGTTTTGTGTGTTTCTGAGTACTATTCTGTGACTTTTTCATAACTTCAGGGAATTGTATGTAATAAGGACTTTAGAGCTGTAGAATAAAGTGGACTGGCTCTGAGTTCTCGTAAGAGATTCCTAGGACTCAGGAAAAATTCTCAGAAATATTGTGAAACAGCTCTAATTAGATCAGTATCTAATATTGATCCTAATACAAATAGCTCCCCCTTCTCCGCTTTATTTACTTTGATGCATTTGTCATTTCTGGCAGGACGAGGGGTAATGGGCGTAAGTCAAAACACACGAAGTTCCACATCCATATGAGGAAGAACTTCTTTACTGTGAGAATGTTAGAGCCCTGGAACAGGCTGCCCAGAGAGGTTGTGGAGTCTCCTTCTCTGGAGATCTTCCAAACCCAGCTGGATGCCACCCTGTGCCACGTGCTCTGGGTGTCCCTGCTGGAGCAGGGGGTGGGACTGGATGATCTCTAGAGGTGCCTTCCAACCCCAACCATTCTGTGATTCTGCGACAATATGATTTTGAGTTGAATCATCAGTAGGCTGCAATTGAAAATTCAGCTTGTAATTAGCAGTGAGTAAAAGTTCCTTACTATGAATTTTACGAGTGCTTTGTTTGGACTTTGGGACTGAATTTTCAAGCAGGTCTTTCAAGCATTGTAGGTCTTTTTCACTGAGAAGGTTGGGGGTGTCCAAGTTACTTCGGCAGTCTGGGCCTAGGTTCAGTCCCTAGCTGTAAGCTCAATGGAGAGGCATATTACACTCCTTAGTAGTTGACATCCTTTTGAGTCTAGGGATGTGCATTAAGTTAAAATGCAGTAGAAACAAACAGCTATTGTGAGAGGGTGTTCTTGTAGGGCAGCGCTGCGTAACTGTGGCAAAGCAAACTGCTTAGGCTCTGCTTCATGCTAGCTTCCTGTGTCTCATCAGGGCAGCTCTTGTGTCCAGTATTGCCACAATTAAGGTACTGTGAAGAAAGAGTTTCTACAACTCAACTGTGCTAATATTGGGGGGCAAAAATCAACTTAGAGTCAAGTCTCAGCCTGGACAGTGATTTCTAGAAGCATCCAGGGCACAGCTTGTATCTGGGACAAGTTAAATAGCCTAAATACGAAGAGGAGATAAGCAACCTGCAGTTTTTCCAAGTATTTCTATAGCATAGGCCCTATTGTGAGTGTCATTGGCACCAAACAGAAAAATACAAACTTGAAACGATCAACCCCTGGTTTTGAATTGAGCAGTGTTCAGTTTTTCTGCCCTTTTAGCAGGCAGAACTCAGAAATCTTACATAAAGAGTAAAGGGAAAATTACCAAATGTCACATAAAAAAGTGAGCTGAGCTGCCTGAATTTTGGCAGGCAACAATTTTCAGTTGTTTAAGTGAGACAAAAAATAAAGCGGGCAGTCAGAACTCCTGCAGCACGTTCAGCTGCTCGCTGACCCCTCTTGAGATACATCCTGTGCCGAACAAGCTCACTCCTCCTGTCAGTCTAAGGTTTCAGTAAGCGGAGTTGATTTAAGGTCTCCTGTGTGAATACTCAACACTAGATGTGGAATTTAGCTCAAGTCCCTCTACCACCATGCGGATCCGTCAGTGGGATGGGGCAGAGGAAGGAGGGACAGGTGAGTATTAAGTTTATTATATACAGAAGGCTTTGAAGGCTTCTGCACTGTGGCCCTGATTGGACTCTCAAATATTTTTCTTTCCAGGCAATTTTCTTGGGCTAACTTTAGGTGAGGAAGGTCTGGGCAAACGCTGAATAATGCCCAAGCAGCTAAAGGCAGCCCCTTGCACTTGCTCACAGCTTAATGCTGGCGATGGTGTTGCAGCTGCTGTCCTCCTGCGCCGTGATCGCTGCGGGCCATGTGCTCTGCTCGCAGCCGGTGTGAGCTGCTGGCGGCTGCCCACTCCGCCGTCTCCCCCACCTTCCCGAGCCGCGGCAGGGCCCGCTCCGCAGCGGCACCTTCCAGGCGTGGGGGAAGAACAGCCATGGCCCTCCCTCGAGTGAGGGGCCGTAATCGTGATCTGCTCTTCCAGGCTCAAATAAGCCACCTGAATGTAAACTGTTATGAAAACTACTTAATTTCTGTCATCAACAAGAGTGTGTTACTTCAAATTCAGCAGATAGAATTTACCAAGAATTTCCAATAAAGTGGTCAGAAGTTTAAGTAAAACACAAGGTGAAGAATACATTGAGGGAAGAAACATAACAGCACCTGCAGTAGCCTTGTTAGCATGTGGTATGTACAGAATTCCTGCATATTTAGTATATTACATTTGTGCTCTGCTTCATGAAAGATAACAAGATTATATTATTTAGCTGTAAGCTTACTTCCGTTATTAGTATATATTTTATATATCAACTAAGTAATGTACACAGGTTTTCATTGCAGTGAAGCTGACCTATGGAAAAACTGGATAGGTGCAGTGGTGCACCCTAAAAAGGGACACATTTGGTTGCCATTATTTAACACAAACAGGTTGATGTGACCTAGGGACTGCTGGCTGAAATACAGTTTTAATGTTCAGCTGTAAGGATGTGACCTGCTATTGCTGAAATCAAGGAGATATCTATTGACAAGTATCAAGGCTACCCCGGTATAGGACAAGTTGATTGCATCTTTTCTAACTGTGGAAAAAAAAACCTCTTGAGTTAAGCTTCTTTAAAGATGAGGCTGGCTTTTCAGGATCATTTAAGACAACTGCTTTCAACAACAATAAATTCTTAGTGTCAAGTTCTGAGATTTATAGGAGTTAAGCAATATTCAGTTTTAGCTTAAAATTCCTCTTTGGGTTACTAACGAATGCTTCACTTCTCAAAACAAGTTTTTAGAACCTTTTAAGGAAGAAACTTTTAAATATGGCGTCATATGAGTTGCACATACAAAAATATCTCTAGTTTTTGAACTGTAAAAACATAAAATATATCTCTGATGATACTATTAGTCTTGTATGCAAGAACAGGAGATTGTGCCCTGTGTCTGTCCCCACTTTTGCCTGCTGATTTCCATATGTGTTGTGGTACACAGAGGAAGAAAAGCAGTTCTGAATTATCTGAAGTATCTGAAATAAGGGTTGGGGGGAGGAGGAGGAGGAGAATTCCTCTCTGAGAATTTTCTTCTATTTCTCTTATTGTATCAAGTGACTTTGCTCCCATCAAAGCTTAGCTGTGCCCCTTAACTGTACCAGGTCAAACTGTCTAGAAAGTGAGTAGGCAAAAAGGAGCTTTCCTTGGAGAAAGCTACCTGTGGTTGCTGCCAAAGAGCTCTGATTATGTTTTAGTTTAGGGTGCTGCCAGGGCCAACTATCAAAATATGTTTATTAGACTGAGACCAAGAAGTCTTATGCTACAGCATCAACTGAGAGCGTCTTTCTAACCTGGTTAACGCTGTTCTTGGAGTAGGTGGCTTGTATGTGTGTACAAAAGCACTTTTTATGATGGCAGTAATCAAATAACTAATTTCACCTGCAGAGAATGCCAGAGATGAGCATTGCTGGGATTTTGGGATGCTTAAAAGTAGGGGCACAACACTTGATGCTCCCTGTGTTTACAAAGTTAAATATTGCAAAGATGAAATACTTGGCTGGATTTGAGTGAGCCCAGCCACAAGAACTGGTACAGATGAAAACATTAAGAAAAGTCAGATGAGGTAAAATCAAGTTAACTGACAGCTAGTGTGACTTTATTTTTTTCATCCTTTTTACTACTGACATTTTTCACTCCTGAGTTTTCTTTCATATTACATATATTTATTTTTTTACCATACAGACTTGTCAGTTGACATAGACATAAGCCCAGTGTGAATTCTAGACTCCCCAAACTCCTCTGAGACTTCAAAAAATAGAAGCTAGGCTGTATGTTGAGCTGGACATTCTTTCCCAGAGAGCTTGGAAATGCAGGATTTTTACAAAAAACATCTTGCAGAATGGTGAATAAGCATGCTCTGTTGTTCCCCCTGCACTACTTGTAAAATAAATATTTAAATCATTAAAGCAAAGCATTACTCCATACATTAATGCTACACTTTTAACAGTGCTCACTTGTGAGTGAAATAGCAGGTGAACTGGAATATGGAACATGGGTCCCTTGCAAAAGTGTTCTCCTTACAGTTGAATAGCTTATAACTCACTACAGCATGGGGGGGATGAAAAGCTGCCAGGTATGATACTTGCAGACTGTGTCATTGGGGTGTTTTTTTTTGACATTGAATACTTAATAGTCTGTGTGTCAGAATGCTCCTATTTGCTCCTTAGTCGAGGAAAATCAAAATAAAAGAACCTTCAGGGCATCTGCCAGCTTTGTTTTGTACTGGGCGTGATGGATGTTCTGTAAAGCTGGCAGGTTGTCACCTGTGCTTTCCCCTGTGTAGTTGCCTTTCAGTCATACACCAGAGTGGCACAGTGCACTACAGCTTGTGTTAGGCTGCTGATCTGTGTTGACTTGCTCAGCAATGTGTGTATATATATGTGTTGTGCTTGCTCTCTATTTATAAATATATATATATAAAATGGATCTATATACACTCCCTTTAGGGAATAATTCTGCAATGATGAACTTTCCAAATATTATAAAGGTATCTTTTCAGCTTCTAACTAAAGGACGGCATGAAAGAGAGAAAATAGTATGTTACACTATTACTTACCACATTTAACTTGAACTGGTCTTGATTTCCTCCCTGCCCACCGCCTCCCCAGCAATAAAATAAATAATAAAATAAATACATAAATAAAAATCATTGATCAGATGTATAACAATGAAGAAAATTAGGTATCACTTTGGTCCTTCACTTTTCTTGACAGCCGATACATATTTAGAAGCTGCATATGTTGCAGGCAGAATTGTATGATCTAAATGAGATAACTGTTACAAACTTCTTTTATCTGATGCTTCTTTAACTGAAATGAGCCTGTTGAGCCATGCAATAAATAAGAAACCTCTGGATCCAAGAGAACGAATACTGTCTTGGAACAGTATTTCTGAAGCAGTGTACACAGTATGCATTTGTAATGCGCCTGCCTTTTTAGCAATCTGATATAATTTGTTACCTCTTAAGGTAACAAGTTGAAGACAGTCCACCTCTAGTCTATTGCTGTTTGACATTCTCTTCCTCCTTAACTATATCTGTTTCTTCTGGGTATTCTAAAAGGCTGGAACTTAGATGTTCAGCTGATATATCAGATACTTAGGGATATAACAGTGTAAGATTAAATTTAATGAGATTCCTAGAAGATTTTTTTTTGAGAAAAGGAGTATGACATAGAATTTGGGAAGTGTTCAAGCTTCAGCATATTCATATTTGTACAGGCAGTATTCTTTCACACTTGTGAAGCCAGATTGCTGAGGGAAGCTGCATGCAGTTAACCACAGCTTGGTTTTGATTTGTATAACTACACATTCATGGTGCCAGTCTTTTCTGTCCTTACTCTAATTGGTATTCTAGAACTTCAGAAATACTGTTAATAGGGGATACAAATAGTTCAAATAGTGTTCTGATATAGCCTTGGTTCTTTTGTCTTTTGACTTGCACCTGGTTATAATGTTACATGGTTATAAAGACCAATTAAGGGCTTTCTAGATTAATTTAGCAGTCAGGCTTTTGGGCTGTGTGCACTTTATTAGGCCCAAGTGTTCTCCAGTCCTTTGAGGTATGGTAGAAATAACTATTCGGTTCTCTTTGAGCACTGTTGTGCTTCAGGAAAAAGCAAAATGAGGGGCAAAATTAGAGAACTGAGGATACAACAATAGCCAACACCATCCTGCTGAGCTCTGTTAAGTTCATCGGCTGAGCTGTCATCTGTGTGAGGAAAACCTTTACATTCACACTTGCACTCATGTGTATGGTCACAATCAAGAGACCTGTTCCCATTACCACTCCACTAAGAAACGTGGCCAAGCCTTGGGGAGTGGCCTGGGCCCTCTTGCCAAGGCTGTGGCACCAGGAGACAGTCCTCCAGCCTGCTGTAGGTATGAGGTGGCTGAAGAACTGTGGTGTTGAATTAGAGCTGCAGTGGAAATCAGCAGACTGGGCAGCATGAGGGATGATGAGAAAGAGATCAGTTGGCTCTCCTTTGAGACCCTGCAGCTTCAAGAGCCTGAACTGCTAAGCGTAGTGAGGGAGGGGTATGAGGAGGCTGTGCATATGTCTTTGAAAGGTTAAAGTTTCCATGATGCTGAAGGCTGAGAATTGGCTTCTTGCATCAGGAGGAAGGTCTTTGTTCTACCTCAAGATTTGCAACTGTGAAGTATGTTCAGGGCCCTGGTGGTAGGCAAGTGGGAAGTCTGTCAAATGAATCATCTGAGTCAAGCAGCTTCCCCAGGAGGAAGCATGAGCATTAGTACTGGGGGACTCCCAGCTGCAGGAGCCAGAGGCCCTTATTTGCAAGCCTGACCTCTTGTGTGCTGTGAGCTCAGCTCTGGGACACTGCAGAAAGGCTGCCAAGCCTTGCCTGGACCCCAGGCTGTTGCCTGGCCTGCAGGGCCAGAGGCCCTGGTGACAAAGAGCACAGAGGAGGTGGAGGAATCCCATGCCTCTAAGACCAGTTTGAAGAAATAAAGACATCCTTGGTAGAGGAGGATCAGGTTAGGGATAACTAACGTGGACATGCACAGGTGTGCAGGCTCTAATGGGATGTGAGAGAACTAGAGAATGTCGCTGCAAAACCACTCCTGATTCCCTTTGAAAAGGTCATGGTGACTGAGAAACAATCTCAAGGGCTAGGAGGAACAAATTTCACCCCAGTCTTCAAAAAGGACAAGGAGGAGTCTGGGGGAACTGCAGGCTGGTCAGCTCCTCTTTAATTCATGGGAAGGTAATGAAGCAAATCCTCTGGAAACTATTTCCAAATACATGAAGGACATGAATGTGACTGAGAGAAGTCAGCATAGATTTACAAGGGAAAGACGTGGTCAACCAACCTGATAAACTTTTATGATGAGGTGACTGACTCAGTGAATAAGGGGAAAACAGTGGATGTTCATCTTGACTTTAGCAGGACTTGTGACATATTCCTCCCCGTACACCCAGCATCCTCATAGTCACCCTGATGATGGCTAGATAAATGAGTGATGAGCAGGACTTTAAATGGGCTGAATTACTGGACTCAGAGGGTTATGATCAGCAGCACAGTGTCCTGCTAGAGACCAGCTACAGGCTCCAGTACTGCTTGTCTTTGCCAATAATATGGATGATAGAAGAGTGTGTATTCTTGGCAAGCTTCTAGGTGATTTAAAAAAAATACAGTAGTACACAGTTCGGGTGGCAATAGAAGGAGTATTTCATTCACTAGACGATTCTGCTGCCCTTCAGAGGGACCTTGGCAGACTGGAGAAATAGGGAGAGGGGAACCTCATGAAGCTCAGCAGAGGGAAATGTCAAATCTTGCAGCTGGGGAAAAGTAACCCCATACACCAGTGAAGGCTCTTGGGGCTGACCAGCTCAAGAACAGCTTTGCAGAGAAGGATCCTGACAGACAACAGTTTGAACATGATCTACCAATGTGCCTTTGATGGCTAAAGAAGGCCATTGTTATCCTGGACTTCATTAGAAATTGCACTGCCAGCATGTCAGGGGAGGTGATCCTTCCACTCTCCTGAGCCCTGCTGAGGCCACACCTGAAGTGCTGTCTCCAGGTCTGTGCTTTCCAGTGCAAGAATAGTACTGATCTTCTGGGACAATTCCAGTTAAGGATGACTATGATGATTTAAGGGATTGAAGCATCTGTCATATGAGGAGAGCCAGCTTGGAGAAGACTCTGGGTGGGGGGGATATAGACAAATATCTGATGACAGGTAGTAAAGAACAAAAACAAAGTAACAGCAACAACAAAAAGTAGAGCCAGACTCTTCTCAGTGATGTTCAGCGAAAGGGCAAGGGGCAATGGGCACAAATCAAAAATAGGAGATTCTGTTTAAAAATAAGAAACGTTTTTACTCAAAGTGTGACCGAACATTGGTATAGGTTACCCAGAGAAGTTTTGGAGTCTCCATTCTTGAAGATAATCAAAACCTGACTGGGAAACCTGCTTTAGTTGATCCTGCCTTGAGAAGGGGTTTGGACAAGGTCCCTCAGGTCCCTCCAGAGGTCCCTGCCAACCTCAGCTATCTGTGATTTGCAGAATTTCATTTCAGAGGTCTAAGAGTGAGCTCAAATGAAAGAAGTGTTAATGCAGTGTTCTTTAAATATAACTCTGGAGAGCTACTTGGAAAGCTCTTGGTGAAGCTAAGCCTGTTTCTGGCTTTGCAGGAATTGGAAACACGTGATTGCCTCCTTTGAAAAATATTTTTTGTTCGTACGGAATATAGACCAGGTATTAGATACTCTAAAGCCAAAATGCGTAAATGAGTTAAAAGGAAAGTAAAGCAGAATGACTAAAATTCATCATCAAGTAGTGGCAACATGCTAGAGAATCTTTCTGGTCTTTAACTTAATTTGTCTAGTTTTCAGCGTTAACTCTGGGACAATATAGTGGTAGGAAAATAAAACTTTTTGAATAAAGTTAAACTGAGTTGTAAAATTTTATTCTTTATTTAAGAACATAAATGGTTTCAGAAGACAATGTAAGGATCTAGCAGAGAGTGAGGTTCCAGATGTGCATATTGAAGATAGATCAAGTGCTTACTAATATACTTTTAAATTTCTTATGCCTTAATGATTTGAACATCCCTAAAAATTCTTATTGATGTCGTTCTGAAGCTTTTCTTCCTTGGGTAATGAGTCCTTATATAATGTAACTTGGTTTAAGCTGGCCATTGGTCTTAGCGTGAGGCAGTAGTCATTTCAAGTTGTGTGTCATCGTCAACCCTGCAGACTGGCTGTTACTGGATATATCAAGATTCTCAAGTCAGGCGCACAAAACCTTTGCAAACAAAACCAGATTTAGTCTATTATGCACTACTGTAATCTTGTAGAGCTAAGCTATGGATTTAAGTGGTCTCCTAACCTACCTGATTTTTTTCCCTGCCTTCTTTTTCTCTATAGAATGTGTACGTAAACATAAACCGCATCATGTCAGTAGCCAATCGCCTGGTTGAGTCGGGCCACTACGCCTCGCAGCAGATCAAGCAGATTGCAAGCCAGCTGGAGCAGGAGTGGAAGGCATTTGCTGCAGCCTTGGATGAACGTAGCACCTTACTGGATATGTCCTCTATTTTCCATCAGAAAGCTGAACAGGTTAGTAAATGGGGAGGGAGACAATAAGAGTTTCTATGCTGAAATGGTGAATTGTGCTGCTTGCCTTCATTTTGGACAGGGGTTTAAAAGCATGGTTGAAAACAGCAGTAAGAAAACTAGGGTATTCGTATCTGCCGGTTCATCTGACTTTCAAGTTAAAAACTTGTTCTCTCTGGCTCAATACAGCCCACTATTCTTATTCTCCTCAAAAGTCATTGCCCATTCCAACGCAAGCAAGTGAAAACTTAGCCAGACGGATTAGATGTATGAGTCAAAATAAAGTAGACATAAAAGTCTTATAGAGCTAAGCTTTTAAGTTAAAAAAGAATGAAAAAAGCAGTATATTTGTATCAATATAATGCCCTTTCTACATCCAGAATTCATTTACTTCTGCTGCTCCTTTCACCTCAACAGCCATGAGAGAAATGTTCATATATCAGTCCTTAGGTTCTCAGTGTTTAACTCGAAGTAATTGCTTACAGAAAATTCATCCAAACTGGTCTGAAAGTTGAGAAGTTAATTAACTGTCTTCTGGATCTGAAATTGTGGTGGGAGATGTTTATTCAGTATCCCATAAGAGATTCTTCCTATATTAAACTAAAATTTTAGCTTTAGGCCCGTACCAATTATTTTAATTAAGTCATTAACCATATGTAACTGCTGGAAAAGAGGTGTATGTAGGGAAATGGGATTTTTTTTTGTGAATAGTCTTGATGGTGAAAGCGTGTTTTTCCCCTCCAGGGAATTCAGTTCTGGAGGAGTTGCTGTGTGTGTGTTGTTGAGTCACTCATTGATATTACAGACTGTCTGCTCTGCACATCTGTGGAGGGCTTGGAGAGCCGAGCTCCATAGGTGCTCATGGCTGACTAGAAGCTCTGGAATGCTGCGGGGCTTCCATAGATGCAGCTCTTGCTGAGCAGGGTTCAAGGAATAGTCTCATGTCTGATATAGGTTTAACTCAGAATTATAGCACATGCCGTTTGGGAGTTGATGATAACTGGAGAAATCAAGAGAAACACTCTACTGCTTTATTATTTAAGGAGGGTTTTTCTTCTGCTCACTGCTACACAGAAATTCAAGTTCCTAACAGTTAGAAATGTGAGCATATTCAGATGCAAATATATATTGTGTTACCTTCAATTATGTTAGTGATGATGTTGGTATGTTAGTTGATGTAACTGAACTCATATAGCTTAAAGTAAATTATATAAACTAATGAAACTGGAATAGGCATTTTAGTAGATTATTGAAGAAAAGCCCCACATGGAATAGCAGAAGGAGTTGTTTTCTGGTTTAAAACCATTTGATAGATGGATCAAATTGATAGATAAAGGTGAGGTACCTCATCAGTATTGGTGTTTTCCAAATTGTCTGTGTTATTTAAGCTTACGTTTAAGCACTGTCAGTCTTGCATGTGAGATACAATGTGTATATATGAGTGTGCATGCATATATGTGTGTGTGTACATATATATATTTACCGTGTGTGTGTAAGCCTACATATATATGGGTAAAACATGAATCAGACAAGATATGCTCTGACTAAAGCATTGTCCTTTTGATAATAAATTATTCTTCAGAAATCAAAGGTGTAAAATTCCTTTTCTGTACTTTTTTTCTTTTGTGCTGGGCTGAAAATAAGTGGCTGTGCTACCTTCTTCAGGACTGAGTGCACATGTAGATGTAAACAGGGGAAAAAGAAGAATGAGAAAAAGAGCACTGCAGCATCTGCTGGGATTAATTCAGTTATTGCCTTGAATTGCTCCTTCTGCAGTTTTCCTTGACAATCCATCACAGCTAATTTTCAATAGTTGTTTTCTATTTTACCTGGCCATGATTTATCAGATGTCTGATTACCAGTGGACAATCTCAGTTAAAGGCAAGAGGGGCTAGAATGATCCCTTTAGAGACTGGTGATGCTTGATCTATATAGTAAAGAGTAAAAAGTATGTGGTCAAGAAATCAGCACATGTTTTTTAAGTGCCCATCTTGCCTTTCAGCTAAGCATTTCTGCCGGCTGTCAGCACAGTCAAGGCTGTGGTAGCTGCTGTCAGGGCTGCTCGCTGGTGCAGGAGATGCAGCTCCCTGATTCTGCAGGACTCTCTTAGTGTTCAGTGCTTAATGTTGGAAATTTCTTCTTAAATATCCCTTGATGACATGAGAGTAAAACAAGTAGCTGAGAATTAAGTACTTCACTCTTTCTCCTAGCTGTCAAACCCTACTGGTGACCACAAAATGGTCTCCGGGTTGCCTTTTCCCCAAAAAGGCTCAATGTGTTCCAGGAATCAAAATGCATATGGTGAGAGAAAGGCACGCTCTCTGAAGCCTTTGGGAATCTTGACCTTCATGTGAAGAGAAGGCAAATTTAGTTTATAGATGCCGCATGCCTGACTATACTAAGCTCGTGTTTAAGAGCCATGAAAAGTCTTAGGAAAAACGGATCCCTCACCCCCTTTTTCTAACATAACTAGGGTATAAAATTCATACCCTCAGCTGTCAAAACTAACTTGGCAGAACTTGATGTGCATGCAGCTATGATGACATTTCTCTTCTGTCCAGACAGTTTAAATTTCAGAAGGAATTTAACTTGTCAGCAGCAGAGGTTCTCTTGTCACATCCTTGGTTCACCCCACAAGGCTTGACCTAAGCAGCGGCGTTGCCGTAGTTGTGCGCTCAGAACTCAGCATTAGACCCTGAAGTTTTAAATCCCTTACTTACATTTGTCTAACAGCTACAGTAGCATTTAGTGCTTCTCAGTATGGAGAAGTTGGTGCTTGAGGGCCTTGGGTGTGAGTTTATAATGCTTTAATGCTGTTTTGCCTCCTTGAAGATACTTTCTTAGCAAAAAAGACAACTGGATTGTTTGAGCAATTTGCCACACCATTTCTGTGTGTGTATGCAAAGTACCTTGCTTTTCTCTGAAGATGCTATAAAAAAAAAAAAAAAGAGGATGAGTAAGTGGCCAATGATGTTCCTTGAATATCTGCAGTGGCAGGTGACAAATGAGAGCTGGGGGTCTGGTCTTGAAAATTGTAGTATGTTGTAGCACTTTATGAAGGCAAGACCTTAGCTGCCTTTGTGTCCCTGGCATGGTAGGGTAGGCATGGATGAACTAAACTTACTAGCTTGCAAAGTCAAGAAAAAGAGCAAGAGTAAACCTGAAATATCGGTCTTGCCAACAGTATAATTGGCCCTGAAGTTTGCCAACATATAATTAAGCCTGTCTGTGAATGGCTGTGAGTTCCACATAGCTAAAAAAACAAGCAGAGTCAGACCTTGTTTTTTTTCTGCTATAAGATTAATTTTGGCCAATTCAGAAAGAAATGCATTGGGCAGTTTTCACTTAAAAGGGCTCTCCCCAGTCGCCGTCACCCAGGTAGTTGGTTGTCCTTTAAGCATGTTTCTAATGTGTGTGTTTGGCTGCTGATAGAAGCCAAAGTTAAGCAGAGCTTGTTTCTCTGTTGCAGTACATGAGCAATGTGGATTCGTGGTGTAAAGCGTGCGGTGAGGTGGAGCTTCCCTCTGAACTGCAAGACCTGGAAGATGCCATCCATCATCATCAAGGGATATATGAGCATATTACCTTGGCTTACTCTGAGGTGAGTTGCTTGTTTGTTTCTTTAGGTTGCTGACTTGTTTCTGGTAGAATGGTGTATGGTTAAGTTTGGGTCATGAATTGACAGAGTTAGTTGTACAGTGCATTAGTTTGAAACTCAAGTTTCAGGTTGTTCCTGTTAATTTATATCCTGGATTTTGCTTCTACTGTTCAAATTTAAATGCAAGTTTTAAGTCTTCCTCTTAGGCTTCTGAAAGAAATTTAAAAGGCAGTTTGAGACAATAATACTGTTTTTTCGGACTCATCCAATACAAGTAGCTCATGTAGTGTACTAAGTATGTTTAACTTGCATTTGTGTATTACTAACTTCTAATAGCAATACAATGCTATCATTAAAATATTTGCATGGAAAGCAGCTGAGTATTCTTTGGGAAAGTTTTGTCTTGGCATGGATTGCTTTAAGCGTCTCTTTCTGAAATCTTCTCTAAAGAAAAAAGCTTTAACTTTCAAAGGATGTCACTTGACAAACCAGAAGTTAAATGCTTAGTTCTGCCAGCTTGAGAGGCATGAAAATGAGCCAGCCTGCATATGCACTTGGCATGCATAAGATCAGCATGTCCCATGTTGCCCATTGGTTTTGAACCCAATGATGGAGAATACTTTCTGGCATATCTAGTAGCTGCAAATACAACTTAGAAAAGGGTCACATTTTAGGTGCACAGCGGTAAAGGAGTGTAAAATCAAAGCTGGTGCTGCCTTGTTGTTCATGTATCAAAAATGGACTTTCTGAACACTTGCCACTGTAGGGTCTGCAAACTCCCATTAGTCCCAGCCAGACTCCCATTAGTCTGGTGTCTACAGTCTATATTAATTGTCCTTTTGAGGAAAAACATGCGCTGACACCCCCACTTCTGATGCATGCCACCTTGCTAGGGCAACTATTTCACATACTGAAGCACCTCTGGCAATAAAACTGTAGCAGCTCTAGCTACAGGTGTGTTTCAGCTTATTCTTGGCTGTGTTCTCTAGGAAGGGTTTTCTTCATTGCAACTTCTCTTCATTGAGAGAGTCCCTTAAAAACAAGGGGAGAGGTGCAACATGTTCGTATTAGACAAATGTGAAGACAGGCAATTTGGGGTGCAAGGAATATAAAGGTTAGGGCTGCCTGGAATAACAATCTTAAAGGATCGAACATAAGCAGTTTGGATCAGTCACACCCCTTTTTTATTAACTTACTAAAAAAAAGTCAAGTGTAAGAACGTTTGGTAGATTATTATGTGAAGTACTGTTTGCTTCCTGGTGATCGTAATGTGTATGAAATAGATGGGTATTTGGTCGGGTTGCTCTGCTACGGCTTCAAGGCAAACACCTTGAAAATTTGTTTACCTTTTCAAAGTTGTAGCGTTTGATTTTTGGAATAATGAGGCTTGTTTTTTTTTTTTTTTTGAATGTAGGTGCTTTTCTGATTTCAGGTCATTTCTTCTTCCTATGTTTGAAAGCTATAGCTCATTCTTTAGCAACCAGAATTTGTGGAAAATTAATAGTTGCATGTATGGAGAAGACGTGTTCCTTCTTGACAGAAAAGGTTGTGTTTCCCTGTATTTTAATTTGCATTCCTATTTGAGGAAGGAGGATTCAGTCCTCCTTTTGGAGGAGGATTGATGGAGTTGTCTCTTTTTGTAATGATATTATGGCACTGTTGCTTATCACTATCAGACATATGACTTAGTTTCTCTTACAGCATGGAGTTCCTTTCACTTTGTGATGAGTGAGGAGGAAGAGGGGAGCGCCATAGAAAAGATAACACTTTGTCATTCATTTTAAATTGCAGTGTCTTGACAACATGACTTGAAGACAGTAATTTTAAAGAGTGAATGCTTCTAAGACTAGACTGAGTCTAATGACTGAGGATAATTACTGTGTATTACCGGAAAAGTAACTTAGTGGTTTGCAAGCTTAGATAACCAGCGTGCTTGAAAAGCTAAGAGCTGTGCCTTAAGTTATATACTTAGCTGAGATCTTAGAGTAGTCATGTACTGGAAAGGAAGTAACTACTGCTTGGAGCAAACATGCATGACTATTTGGTTGTCCAGGTGAGGAGGAAATGTGCATGGCTATTTGGTTGTCAAGATGATGAATGAATTAGCACATTCTGGGACTGTCACACTTGCTTTTTTTTTTCCTGAATTGCATGGATTCTTGATAAATAATAGTAGGGTTTTTTTTTGTATATATTTGAAAGACAAAACTTGTCCTAGATGACTGCTTATGATGCAGAAGGGAAAAAGTCATCATAGTAACAACCAGAATGGATTACAGTGTTTTTCTATCTGACTTGACTTGATAAGTGCTGGTTTTCCAAGTGTGCTCATTCTCTTTTTTTCACACTTGTTACTCAGGGGAACAAGCTTAAATGAGAATTGAGAAACAGACACTCCTTTACCTCCTAGAAAATAACATTGATCTGCTCTGACTATTGAATAGCAATCTTTAAATGGGATCTTGCCTAAATTGAGTGAAAATCATTGCAAATAGCTGCTAGGGAAAAGCTTTGACATGTTTCCTCTTTGACTTGGTCTTGATTTAGTGGATTACAACTATTGTTTGTGTCCCTTTTCTGTGGTTTTGGATGAATATTTCTTGCCTTTTACATGAGCAATTAGAAAAGTTCTTTCCAATTATCTAAGTAATGCTAAATTGTAATAGTGCTTTTGAGTTTCATGTTGAAAGTGGCAGAATAGTTAAACAGCCATAAAAAAAGCTTTCAACAACCTTAATAAATGTTAAACATTAGCATTTGACCAATGACCAGATGATGTGGGATTTACTGCCTTTTAATTAGTGTGCAAAATCCTAATATTTTTGCTATGGTTTGGATTAGAAAAGACAACAGCTAGAACTGCCTCACATATTCCTTATCAACATCCATAGTTGAACACAGTTCACAAAAGAATGTATTTCTGTGGAAAGGTTTTAAACCCAATTATTTTTTGACATAATATCAGCTTTTTGGTTGATAGTCTGTTTTTGGCTTACTTGTACAGTACTTGTACACTAATAGTTTTACAGTAATAATTTACAAGTATTACTTGTACAGGAACAATTTAAAAGTAATATGTATACAAATCAAAATTGCTCCAAGTTCTTGTTTCTTTGAGTATACTGATAAATTTAATAGTAGCTATAGAAATTAAATTTCTTTTTCTCCTCAGTAGTGGATGAAAGGGGGGAGAGATTTCTCAGAGGGCATTTCTACTCAAATGGTTAATTTTAGGTGCTTTGACTACAGAGCTGGAAAGAGAGGAAGGGGAATGCCTATTGCAAGTTAGCACTGACCCCTTTGAAAAAATTACTATTGATGAAAACACTCTTAAGGCTGTTATTTGGAAAGTTGCTACTGCTTCACATCTGGGCAGAGGATAAATAATGTGAATTTCTACAGTAGCAGCACATTATCATACCTGGAATAAAATATCCTGTTGCCCAGGTTCTCAAAGAGACCTGAAATAAGGGTACTGGGGAGGTGGAAGGATAGCCTGGCAAGCTTAGGTGAGGCAAGTAACTCTTCATGCTTTCCTAACGGTCAGGTAAGCCAAGATGGAAAGTCACTTCTTGACAAACTTCAGAGGCCTTTAACCCCTGGCAGCTCCGATTCCCTCACTGCCTCTGCCAACTACTCAAAAGCAGTTCATCATGTTCTGGATGTTATCCATGAGGTCCTGCACCACCAGCGCCAACTGGAAAACATTTGGCAGCATCGGAAGGTCCGCCTGCACCAGCGACTTCAACTCTGTGTTTTTCAACAGGACGTTCAACAGGTGGGTTTTATTTCATGATGTCTGCATGACTTTCCATCTTCCAGACCATCATATGAACCTGGCTTGTGTTGGCAGGTGAGTTTTGACCGCTGGACCCTTGTGTTCTTTTATTCAGCAGTTGAGCAATCACATAGGACTGATGACCTGAATCAGTGGGCATCAGAGAAGGCTTATTCTTAGTTCGTAGGGGTAGAAAATACCCCTTTTTCACTTGAATTTTTGTGTCAAATCCTTAGTGATACTTGCCTGACTTTTTTTTTTAAAGGAGAGCAATAATCTGAAGTGGGTAAAAATCACTGATAAGATTGCTTTCTGAGAACAACTCTGTTCTTGACTAAGTGGTTTTAGCTGCTATACTTCAATTGTTGTGACGGCATCCATAAAATACAGTAGTTAAGTACATGAATGTCTCTGATCCAGCCTGGAATGGCAAAACTG